CAGGAGAAAGATGAGGCAATCTGCTTCCATAAAGATTGACAGCCTTAGAAATCCTATGGGGCAGTCCTACTCTGTCTTGTAGGGTCTCTGAGTTGGAAACAACCCCATGGCAGTGGGTTTTCAGGAAACCTGAGTGTGAAGGAAAGAAGAGAAGTAAGATTCGTACAGAGTCATGAGGGCTTTTCAAGGACAGGAGAGAAGAGCACTAACTTCTTCCTATTAACTTGTGCGGGGAGAGAGTAAGTACACCAGCCTGAGGGAACCAAAGGAAGTAGCATCCAGAGGAAGTAGCATTGAGAGGTGGATGGAGGGGCTTTGGAGCCTTGAACAAAAAACAAAAACATAGAGGAAAAAGGGAAGGATGAAGAGTGGGAGAAGGTAGGAGCTATCTGAGGTCACTCCTTTTGACTACCTTTTGCTCAGAAAAGTGGGAGGCAAGGTGATCTGCTAAGCATGAGATGGTGGACAGATTGAGCAGGAATTAGGAAAGTAGCATGTGTTTAAGAAAGTTGCTGAGGTAATTAGGTGAGAGAAGTGCCCAAAGCAATAGGAATGGCAAACACTGTTGAGGGTATGAAGGACAATTTGGAGGGACACAAGCTTCTACATGGCACCATTATTTTAATGATAGACAGCTGCCAGATGCAGCAAGCTCTGGATGTCAACCTGCGGAGTTTGGGTTCATCTTGTAGGTCAGAGGGTCCTCAAACTAGCTGTGCTCACCAGAGTCTGTGGGAGATTTTCTTGAAGCACAGACTCCTCAAACACACTGCCCATACATTCATATTCAGGGGATGGTGACATCTGGAAGCCTGTCATTTTAATTAGCACCTTAGTTATTCCCATGTAGCCATGTAAGTGTAAGTGCACTGAAAATTCTGTTAGCTAGAAAAATGACAAAGTCAGGCCTGAGTTTTCAGGAGCATGTGAAATGAATTGGGGCGAGGAAAGACTGGAATCAGGGGACCAGGTTCCAAAAAAAAAAAAAAAAAAAAACCCAAACTCACTGCCATTGAGTCGGATCCAACTCACAGCAACCCCTCCTTGGGTTTCCTAGACAATATCACTACAGTAGATTGCCCAACTTTCATTCCAAGGAGTGGCTGGTAGGTCTGAACCACCAGCCTTCTGGTTACCAGTCACATGCCTTAGGCACTAACCACCAGAGTTACTGTTGTAAATAGTAATGAGGGTATGAATTAGAGTGGTAAAGGACAAAAGTAGGTCACAAAAGAGGGATGGAAGCTGAGGCAATTCAGATACGGATGTCCAACAAAGTTCTAAAAGTAAATGAGCATTTGGTTTGTGGGCATTAGACAAGGTGGACTTAGAGAAAATAGAAATCTTTTGTCTTTATGAAATGTATTTTGAGCTGAGTGAGGGATGAGACCATTTGGCTTCTAGATAACTCCAGCACCCCTAGAGGTCAGTTGTGTACTCATGGCAAAGTGCCTATTGTGGAATGTTCTAGAACCTTAAGGTAAATGCCCTGGAATAGCCCCTGATTTGTATGGGAACAGGAGTCTTATGGGAGTGAACTTGAACCCAGTACACAATGGGGATTCAAGTAGAGTTGAACTATCTGATGGACTGTGAATTTATAATGGTAATTGAAGTAGGGTGACACATAAGGTGTCCCTAAAATAAAATCACACTGAGTCCAGAAGGCTGACAGTTTGGACAAATCTGGGCACAAGGAAAAATAGCAGTGGGAACAGTAAGAGTGAATAGTTCCAGATTATACTTTGACATGACTCAGAGCTACTCAGGGTATTTGTGTTCTCTGGGAAATCGAAAGCAAAAAAACTAAGTTATTTGGGACAGAGACTCTCTGAAGGGAAAAATCTCCCTGAATGTCTTTTTGTAGAGGCAGATGGGTGTTTTCTGCCCCCAGAGATGGCAGGGGCTGAAACCCAGTAGCTGCATGGGGTGTTGGAAGATCACAGGAAGTAGGCAGCAGTATGGGCATTGATCTAAGAGCAGCAGAGATGAATTAAGGAGAAGAGCTCAAGTAGCAAGAAGGGTGTGTAAAGTTATATCTGATTATTTGTGAGAACCTCCAAGGAACCCAAGAAGACAAATTATAGAGGAGGAACTTGGGAAAGTGCTGGAATTTCTAATGATCAAGCATGTAGTGGCTCAGAATATTGGGTTAGAGGACATTAGTATAAACATGGGGAAAAAAATTATAAGGATAACTAGGAAATATATAGGTTATTCAAATAATAAGTCATATCAAATATACTTTATTTATCTTTGAAATAAAATTATTAGATTGATAGACCAAAAGAAGGCCATTGTTCAAGCATATCTTAATTTCAAGAAACTATTTATGTAGATTTTTCATAAAGGTAAACTCACAAAACTCATTGCCATCGAGTCGAATGTGACTCATAGGGAACCTCTTTGGGTTTCTGAGGCATTATCACTAAAGAAGTCAGTTGCCCAACCTGTCTTTGTCTTTCGGAGGAGTGGCTGGTGGTTTGAATGGCAAGCCTTCTGGTTAGCAGTCAAGTGCCTTAGACACTATGCCACCAGAGCTCCTTTCATCAAGGTAGAACACTGAAAAGATAGGCACTTTCACAGGAAGTTAAACGTTCTTTGTCAGAAGGATAATTGTTAACTTCGCTTAGTTAATTTTTAAATGCTTTTAGTTAAAATTTCTGCTAAGTCAGCCACAGAGTGCTGCTGACTTTGTCTCTCTTCTGTTCTTCTCAATCTCTGTCATGTAATTCACAGTCATGCAGATTCCTTTTGAAGGTCTACTTCCATCTTTTCAGCACTACCCTTATCCACTACCCTCATTATGTCATTTATATTGTAAATATCTAGAAATAAATTGCATAATGAAAGTGCCTAAGAAGTAATCTCAAAAGCCATCATGGTACCTTTTTTTCTATTCCGTGCTTATAGTCCAGCCTAGAGTGACTGTCTCCCCCACCAAGAAGGGGCCCCTGGAACACCACAACCTGCTGGTCTGCCACGTGACAGATTTCTATCCAGGAGGCATTCAAGTCCAGTGGTTCCGGAATGGACAGGAGGAAACAGCTGGGGTTGTGTCCACCGACCTGATCCGAAATGGAGACTGGACCTTCCAAATCCTGGTGATGCTGGAAATGATCCCCCATCAGGGGGATGTCTACACCTGCCATGTGGAGCATTCCAGCCTGGACAGTCCTGTCACCGTGGAGTGGAGTGAGTGACTCCCTGATGACCCTGCTGGACCCCACACTCTGCCGAGCAGGGGATGCTCTGGCTCTGGGGTCCCCTCATGCTGTCTTGTGTGTCTATACACTGAGTCACAGATGCCTGGTGTTTCTTCTGTACAAACCACTGACTGTGGTTCTGAGCTGGGGGCAGTGACCTGACCTAGGGGATACCGGGGAGTAGTGCTTCTTCTCCCTTATCAGAAAATATAGGGAACTCAAACACCTTCCTGAATGGCTCTCTTCCCTCAGCCTTTTAGGCTATTCTGAGTTATTTCAAGAGGCAGCTACCACTATCAGTATTTGTCCCTTTGATGAAGTCACCATCCCAACCTCCAGTATTTAAAGGTCCTTTCTAAATTTACTCCTTCTCCAAAGTGTATCCCTCTTAGTGTCTTCATGCCCATATTCTACATCAGACTCCAAGTTCTCAGACAGGACCAGAGAGGGACACTCAGATGGAGATAAGACTGACTCTGGAATCTGTTCTTCCCAGAGGCACAGTCTGATTCTTCCCAAAGCAAAATGCTGACTGGAGTCGGGGGATTTGTGCTGGGGTCCATCATCCTTGGAGTTGGCATCTTCATGCATAAGAGAAGCAAGAAAGGTAAGGACCCCTCAAGATGAGGCTGAGACTTTCCTTGCCTCCTTTCTTCTCTCATCTTGCATGATAAGGGACTGAGCAAGAATAGCAACTCCAGAGAAATCCGGACACCACAGAAATCAGAGAGTCGAAGATCTAAGCTGGCCGTTGGGAGAAAAGAACGCTCAGACTTGGGATCACAGCCAGATGTAGGCGGTCTCTAGTACTCAGGCTTTTGCAGGAGGGTCATTTAGTGATGGGCTCTTCTCCCACCAGCCCTGTCTCTTAATTCCTGATAACAAGATCAAGGTGATGGGAGACAGAATGGGAAAGTTATTGAATTGTCTACAGTGTTTTAATGGCTGAAAATATCCCCTTTCTTTTTTTCATTTTAGTTCAACGAGGATCTCGATAAACAGGTAAAATTCCAGCTTCATTTTTCTTCAGGGAGTAGGTTGAAACAGATTGAACTCCTTTCTTTGCATTAGGACATTGTGTATTTAGGATATTGTGGAGAGAAATCTCAGGGCCTGAATGTCTCTGTCAAACTCAGACCATCAGTCCTTAGGAAAGAAGCTCCACTGGTAAGGGCAGCCCAGAAAATCTGTTTTGTTTTACTTTTCAATCAAGCAAGACTCAGTCTCTCACCATAATTTTTCTTTCCTGAGAGCTCTGGTGGTATAGTGCATAAGGCATTTGACTGCTAACTACAAGGCTGGTAGTTCAAACTCATGAGCCACTCCTCAGAAGGAAGGTTGGGCAATCTACTTCCATAGTGATAACACCTTGGAAACCCAAGGAGGGGTCGCTGTGAGTCAGAACCCACCCCACTGCAGTGAGGCAGTGGAGTATAAACAAAAAAGTGTTGGCGCATAAACAAAAAAGGGTAGCAACCTGGGATAACTTATTTTTACTCCCACAGGATTCCTGATCTGACCTGAAAAACTCTATGTGCCTAAGAACAAGTTCTTGTCTGTGCTTTTAGCCCCAGAAGGCTTCTTCTCGGACAGACCCTCAGCTTCCCAAGAGGATGAGATTGAAAAGTAAATGCTCTCAACCAATTCCTGTAACTCTGCTCCCTTCATTCCATGCACAGCTGCTTCCATGGGCCTCCAGTCAATGTCACCTGTCTTTGACTCCATAGAAAATCAAAATCCAATGGTATTGTCTTTTTTTAAGAATATGTATGAACACCATGCGAATCCTCAAGCTATATGACTATGAGGCCAGAAGATCTAGATGGTACCCAGCTACCACTGTCAACCACTCAGAGGGGGATCTATGTAGGAGATCCTGGATAGAGAGAGAGAACAATGTGGAACAAAACTCAAAATCAGTGGGGAAAACAACGGACGAGGGGAGGACCAGGTTTGCTGGTCTGATAGAGCCTGGTGGAACCACTGAGACTATGGCCCCTAGCTGCCCTTCAGGTCTGGAACTGAACCCACACCTGTGGCTTCCAGCCAAACAAAAGACAGGCATATGAGTTGAACATTTACCTGAGGTAGATACACTCCTTGGAGAGAACAATCATGGGAAAAAGAAGGGCTGCTTATGCACAGGGAGACAGCTCAGGGGGCAGGAGTGCGTGGAGGGATGGACAAAGGGAAGAGGAAACTATGGGACGGGAGCTGTTGCATTGGGGTAAATTATAGTCCATGTGTATGTGAACTGCTGTATGGAAAGTGAATTTGCTCTGTAAACTTTCACCCAAATGATATTTAGAAAAAAGGAAAAAGAAATATATACGAAGTCATTTCTGCCATTGTCTTTGCTTAAGGGTTTTGATAAAGAGGAAGAGTTAATGGAGAAGTTATTGTTGTTTACACCTAAGTAAAAATAATGTGAAAATGAAGATATCCTAATTCTTTGAAAACGTGGCCAGTTGACAGTCGACCTCTTCTGAATTTGTTGTATTTCATTGAACTTCCTCAGATTCATGTTTGTAACTTCACACTTGTAGGTCTGAGAGCATCATCCTTCATTATTCAAGGATGAGAAGACCCTGAATTCTGGGGTCATAGACCCCTCATTCACATAGGCCTGATTCAGCATATAGTTCATTAAGAATATGTTATACCATTTTACTGATAATAAGTATAAGAATTAAAAATTAAGAACATAATGTAATAAAAATTAAGCCCTTTCTCTGAATACCATGATAAATAATCTTTGACCAAGCATGACTTAACCTCTTTAGTGTATCAGGTTACAGAGGATACAGACATCTCCTCTAAAACTGTATTCATCAAACCATCTTAGACCTCCTGCCCTAGTAACTCATACAGTGAGAAATGCATCCTCAATGTTAACAAGACTCAAACCAATAGATGTAGCACTTTTTCCAAACATAGACCTGCTTTTAAGATCAAATTATTATGGATTTTGTGTTTCATATTAAATTGCCTTTAAATTCAAAATAGAGACCATATTTAGTCTAACGATTCCTCATTCTACAAATAACAGAGGATCACTTCTTAATGCACATACCGAGTGCAGCTCTCTGACACACCAAGTTGATGGATTCTTACCAGCTGCTCTTGTATCTTGTTTGCCCCTTGGCTCCTACCCATGTTCAGTTCCCATGAGCTACTGTGTTCCTTTCACACAGTTCCCCACTGCTCCCCATTCAAAAAAAAAAAAAAACATGCCCTTCAGTTGCACAAAATCTTTTTCCTTTTCAAAGAGAGATCAGAGTTGAAGGGACAGATGTGGCTGTTACTGACACAGAAGTAAGGAAAGCTAGGGTCTACAGAAAGAATGAGGTTGAGGGAGTTATTGAAGGAGTTCAGGAAGAGAACCCATGGACATGGAGAATCGAACATGTCTCATGTAATCAGCTAAGTGCTTAACATATCTGCCTCATTTAATCCTCATAACCAAGGAAACAGGACATGGTTTTGTTTTCTTTTAAAACACACACACAATAAATAAATAAAAAATTTGGAAACAGGGCTTTGCTGAGATAAGACTGTTGTCACATGGCAGAGCGACAAATAAAATTCACATCTGACTCCAAAAGTCATGATCTTTCTCTTACTCAGTTATGCTCTTTCTGCTATTATTAGAAACACATGTTCCTTGTCTAGTTAAGACACCATTGTCCTTGATCAGCATTGTTTTCTCTAAATCTATAAATGAAAACACTGTTGCTACATTTTCTGCAGTAATTTCAGCTGTCCCTTGGAGAGATGACTGGAGCAGTGTAAAGAAAAATGAAGAGGTAGATTCTTTTTTACTCTTGTTGTCTCTTGAGGCTTCAGAGCTACCACTGGAGAAAGCTATTCAGTGGGAAATTAGGATGATTAGAAACCAGTCATGCAAAGAAAGAAAGCAGTCGGGTGTATGTGAAGCTTTACAAATACAGATCCATGTTAACTTCGCAGACCCAGAGCAGGCAAACCTCTCACCCTGAGCTTCCAGGCACTGAGTGTTCCAAACCACATCCTTCCCCACTCATTCTTGTTCCCTCTTCCTTGTGCTGTCAACTACAGAGTACCTGGGCAGTGTGAACATTCCCTGGGTCCTAGCTTCTATCAGGATCAGAAATTCCCACATTACAGGTTGAGAATATATATTGTATTCATAGGGAATAGAAAGCATAAGGAGAGCTGGAATAGGCTCTAGAATAGCAGAAAGAAGGCATCAGACATGTCTAGCCATGACAGACAGAGGTGTTTATTGGCCTCTGTAATTTCTCAGGAAGGATACAGTGCAGGGAGTATTCCCAGAAGAGACCAGGGCATAGAGACCAGCAAGTGTGGGGTAGCCTCCTCACTGTTCTCCAGAATTTCAACATTTATTGAGTACTTTCTGTGCGTCTTGGTGTCTTACTAGGTACAACGTTAGGTAGAATCATGAAGACAAACAGGAATTGGAGAGGTCATTGGGTACCTCAGTCATTGACTTTGAGGAGTACAGAGAATCAAAGGAAACCTAGGACTGGAGCTTTAAGGTAGACTTGAAACTGCATTCTCCTTTGTGTCCTTTTCTGTGATAGAAAGGTTGTCACCTGCACTATGACAAATAAAATAAGTTTAGGACTCCACAGTGAACAGTGCATCCCACCCCTTTACACCTGGTCCTTTTATTTTCTGTCCTTCATAGGTCTCTAGGAAGAAGGTGGTCTCCTAAGATAATATTGTTGCCCCAGATGAGGAGTTGTGAGAAATCAAAGGGTACCTAAGGGGCTGGCATTTCATCCTCTCGTTGGATGAGCCTTCAGAAACAATGAGGCCCAACGATGGGATGATGGAAACTGAAGGATGTAGAAGTTGGGCACACTGAGTGAATCTGTTCTTTGTTGTTGTTGTTAGGTGTGGTTGAGTTGGCTCCAACTCATAGCGGCCCTATGTACAACACAACAAAACACTGCCAGGTCCTGCACCAGCCTCACAATCCTTGCTATGCCTGTGCCCATCATTGCAGCCACTGTGTCAATCCATCTTGAGGGTCTTCCCCTTTTGCTGACAAGGAAGGATATTATATAATGATTAAAGGATCAATTGAACATGAAGATATAACCATAATAAATATCTATGGACCCAATGAAAGAGCCTCAAATTACATAAATCAGAGTTTAAAAGAGCTGAAAAGCCAAATAGATTACTCCACAGTCATAGTGGGAGACTTTAATACACCACTTTCTTTGAAAGATAGAACAACTGGAAAGAAACTCAACAAAGATGCAGAAGAGCTAAACAATACAATCCACCAACTTGGGCTTATAGACATCTATAGAAGCACTTCAGCCAACAGCAGTACAATCTACATTCTTCTCCAGTGCACATGGAACTTTTTCTATGATAGACCATATGTTAGGACATAAAGCAAGCCTTAATAAATTTAAAAACTTCAAAATACTGCAAAACATCTTCTCAGATCATAATGCTATCAAATTAAAATCAACAATAGGAAGATCAACAGGAAAAGAATAAGCACATGGAAACTGAACAACACCCTCCTTGAGAAAGACTTGGTAAGAGAAGAAATCAAAATTGAAATTTGAAAATTCCTTGAATCAAATGATAATGAAAACACAACA